CAACAACGTTTCGGCCGTTGTACGCTCCAGCCTTCTTCAGGTGGTTGAAATGTCGAATTGAACCCTTTATTTCGCTCGCTGGGGTAGACTGTTCTAGTTCCACGTGCCATGTCTAATGGATGTCAGTTACCAGTTAACTCCTGTGAATTCACCTCTCCAAATTCTCCACTGCTAAGCCAGGTATTGAACTCACATCTCTTTGGGTCCTGTCACTGGATCTAACACCTTTATCCACCGTGACATGTGTCCGTAAGGACAACTGTATATGGATTTCTAGGACTTATAAACTTAATGTCTTCAGCAACCATTTTTACCAGTGCTCATATTGCAATTTTTGCTGTTTTTATTGCATGTTTTTACATATTGCAATTTTCGTTGTTATTATTGCTTTTCTCTGGCACTCCTTATTGCTAGTTCTCATATTGTATTCATTTCTATGCTTGGTCGGCTCAGGAGATATTTGGCCTAGCATATGTGCTGATTCCTTAAGTTTACGAATTTTCCAATGGTGTTCTTTGTCTATGATTTCAACCTGATCCCACAGAGGGTGGTGATCTCCCCTTTCTCTCCATATGTGGTCAGCCACGCTTGATTTTTCTACATCCCCTCGTGTTATAGCTTTTGGGTGTTCTTGAAGCCTTACTTTAAGGGGACGGCCTGTCTCCCCTTTATATTTATTTCCGCAGCTGCACGGGGTGGCGTACACACAGTCTTTAGTCATGTTCTCCTCTATGGGGGGGGGGTCTTACCCGGGAGAGGTATTTGCGAAGTGTTGTCTTGCTTTTGAAGCTTGTCCTGATGTTTTATGGACCGCAGATCCTTTGTATTTTCTCCGATAACCCCTTCACATAAGGCAGGCAGACTGTTTTCTGAGTGTTGTTGCCCGCCTCTTGAAGAAGGCTGGATCGTAAAACAGCCAAAAAGCTGTGATAAATATGGAAAGAAAGATGAGGACAATAGTCCGAATAATGTAAATAGTGTACATAATACCTCATCTCAGAAATATAAACAGATACTGAAAGACCGAGACGTTGTAATAAATATGGCGACAAAGTTGAGGACAATAGACCGAATAATGTAAATAGTGTACATAATACCTCATCTCAGAAATATAGACAGATACTGAAAGGCCGAAACGTTGTAATAAATATGGCGACAAAGTTGAGGACAATAGACCGAATAATGTAAATAGTGTACATAATACCTCATCTCAGAAATATAGACAGATACTGAAAGACCGAAACGTTGTAATAAATATGGCGACAAAGTTGAGGACAATAGACCGAATAATGTAAATAGTGTACATAATACCTCATCTCAGAAATATAGACAGATACTGAAAGACCGAAACGTTGTAATAAACATGGCAACAAAGATGAGGACAATAGTCCGAATAATGTAAATAATGTACATAATGCCTCATCTCAGAAATATAGACAATTACCATGAAAGTATTTATAAAAAAGACACCGAGGCAACCTTACAAAATTGACCTCGTTACACATATGTACCATCCATGGTATTCTCAGCATCCTTCTGCAGAACGACTGTCACCACTCTCCACTTCATCTGCAAGGAAATTGTCCCGCATTCTCTGTCATATAGATGGACTGATATTGCATAGAAATTGGGCATTCTTTTTTAGCTTCCAAAGAATTTTTCCTAATTCCTAATACTTTGTTTAAGTTTTTGCGAGACATGTTTCGCTATTTCTATGAGTCTTCGGATAGGCATTGGAAGAATGTCTTACTCAGAGTTCATAGTGAAGAAAAGAAAAGAAAAAAGGTTTGTCGAATAAGTGTGCTGATTAATGAGAATAAAAAAAAGTGAAAACAAAAGTGTAGGAAAATTAAGAAAAAAAAAAGTCCAATTAAAAACAGGAAATCCTCGGGGTTGGGGTTGGTTTATGCCGGGAGTTAAAAAATGTTTGGAATTAATTGAAATTAATTGCCGAATCATGAAAGTCATAAAGCACTGTAAAACTTCATACCTTTTCCTACTACTCCTCCTACAAACAACTGCACATTTGCTTAAATAATAAAGCTAGTGTATTTAAATGACTAGTCTTATAGAAAGGAATCCAAACAACAAACAATATGTAATAATGTAAGAGAGTGAGAAAAAAGATGGTGGCATATTTCGAAAGGGCAACTTTACCTTAGTCGGTCAAAAAAAAAAACCCACCAAAAACGATGTGTCTAAAGAGTTACGTGAGAGTAAAATAGCAGATTAGACTGAGCTGTCTAGATTTGAGAAGACACTTCCAAATTCAAAACCGTGAAGACTTTAACGGTAAAGGAAACCACTTCAACATATTTCTCTAGAAATCATGGCAATTCACAGATTAAAAAAAAGAAAACTAATATTTAATATTACTATCACATATGGCCAGGTCCTATATATTTACAGATTCTTGATAAAATCCAAAGATGAATCTGCAATATTATTGGTCCTGACCTGGCGTCTCGGTTTCAGTCACTTTCCCTCTGCCGTAAAGTTTTTTTTTCCCCCTGTGCCTTTTCTATAAATACTTATACGGTAATTCTTCAGTGTGGCTAGACATCTGAAGCCGGGATCGAAAACCGACCGATTTGGCATCAGTCAGAGATCCTAGGCTATCGTCGCACGGCAGGAAGAAAGGGGAATTTTAACGTTTTTCTTTACGACATACACTAGTGGCTAGGAGAGCTCAATTCAGTTGAAGAGCAATGCATTAATAGCAGTAGGATCCGCTGTTTTAAAATCAACCTTTTCTCAAGAGAGATCGATTGGATTACCCGAGCACACACACACACACACACACACACACACACACACACACACACACATATATATATATATATATATATATATATATATATATATATATATGTGTGTGTGTGTGTGTGTGTGTTTGTGCGTATTTAGGCAGCAATCCTTCTTTCATGCACGTTTCATTGCATACGACAAACAAGGTGCTTTTATTTTGTTTTTTTTTATACAATTTCTCATGCGATCTAATAATTTTTTTGGGATGATAAATTGTATAAAAACTGTCCGAATTTTCTTTTTATCCAAGCGCTTTCCGCTATATATTTAGCCATTTTTAAGGATTAAATATTTTGACTGGTAAATAAGAAATAGTTTGTTGTATGTATGTTTCATAAAAGGTTTTCATTTTTCAAAACACGAACAAGATATTCAAACTATTTCTTATACAATATTTAAAATATTTAATTCTTTAAAATATCTAAATATATAGCCAATAAAAAGAACATTCGGACAGTTTTTATATAATTTATCATCCGAAAAGAAAAAAAATTAAAGATCGCATGAGAAATTGTATAAAAAAAACTAAATAAAAAGCACCTTTTTTCGTATTCAATGAAATGTTATATATATATAATATATATATATATATATATATATATATATATATATATATATATATATATATAAAGTGTAAAAAAGAACGAAGAATAAGATTTCAGAATTCAAAACATTAATTTACAAAAGTAGAGACGTAAATATTTATTATTTTGCAGTGTTACATTAGAACATGCAAATACCTACTAAAAAACTGAACATCTTAAAAGATATTTTTTTACGTTGAAACAAGATTTACAGTTTTGTAGTGGGTATGCGAATGTTCTAATGTAACACTACATATATATATATATATATATATATATATATATATATATATGTGTGTGTGTGTGTGTGTGTGTGTGTGTGTGTGTGTGTAGATATGTACACGTTAGGTAAATAATCTGGAGTTCTTTAGTATTTTTGTTTTATTTAAAAAAAACAGTGCTCCATACAGAAGTAGAGCTTAAGTTATAATTATTTAAATAAAATATGATTCCTTCGCTACATAAGAGTTCTCATGTTTCAAAAACAAGAGATGGAAACTTCAATATTATTAAAATGAAATTGAGTTAAAGTATCACGCCAATTGCACCTCGACTGGTGGGAAACAAAAATGGTTATGAACAATTTTGCTTGTAGGCAAGCAAATGAAAAAGATGAATTGACGTTTCACATACGGCTTGCCTACAAGCAGAATTGTTCCTAATCATTTTAGGTTCTCACCCGTCGAGGTGCAGTTGAAATGCACCGAAACGAAGTTGCATCTTTGTAGTGAGTAAACTGTTTTTGTCTATATGATAAAATTATAATAAATAATATATATATATATATATATATATATATATATATATATATATATGTGTGTGTGTGTGTGTGTGTGTGTGTGTGTGTGTGTGTGTGTGTGTGTGCTTTTAATTGTAAATAATCTAAAATGAGTACCTTTTAGTGGACATCCATCCATGCCTTTCTGCTTGAATGTTCCCGAGTTTTGGTAAATATCCATGTGTTGAGGCAAAGCTGAACGTTTGTATACAATATGAGGATGCTTGCCGTCTGCTTCTATCGGATGATCCTTGACGGGATCGATGAAGTATTCAGACGTTTTTGTTTGAAGAATCCCAGTCTAAAAAAGAAGAACAAAGAAAAGAAAAAATTTCAATAACATATAAATGTTTATATTTAAACGCTTTAACATAAAAAAACAGAATTTTTTTTAAAATTCCGTTAACAGGATAAGTGATAAAAGCATTTTGTAAAATGTTATCTATTTGTTGTATCTCAGTAAATAAATATTGTAATGGCGAAACATTTTTCCAATTTGTTTTATTATCTCACTTTCCAACTATAGCAAATAGGTACGGCTGTTTGAAGTAGCAGTTGTACCCTGTCTTTTTCTGATCCCAATCGGTGAGACTAACGCGAAACTCCACACACAAAGCACAATCACTCGGCTTGTCGCCCAAGGTTTACGCTAACCACCCACTAAGTCAGGTTGTGACATAAGGCCGGTTTTTAACGTAGGGACCCGAATGTTTCCACTCGGGCCGCTGGTATAAGCTGGTCTTAGCTTGCCTAAGCTGGTCTAACTTGTCAAAGCTGGCCAGAGCTTGTCTAAGCCAGTCATAGCACGCCATACCACTGCTACGTAAAAGATGTTACGCTTCTTCTTCTTCTTCTTCTTCTTCTTCTTCTTCTTCTTCTTCTTCTCCTCCTCCTCCTCCTCCGCCAATACCTGGGGAATTGGCAGAGAAGAAGAGGAATCCGAGGGTGGGAGGAGCCTTCCACTCGCTTCGTCACCCTCTAATGTTCTCTCTTTCATGCTCATAGAGTGGCTGAGGCTCGAATATTTGCATAAGCCATGAATTCGTCGAGAAAAATCTTTGAGTTACGAGATCAAAGTAGTTCTTAAATTGCAGCATTTGGATCGGTCATGTTCTTATTCACGTATCTTGCACGCAAGACACATACGAGGGCTTTTTGTTCCAGGAAGTAAGCCATTTTCTCTCCTACATCAATCAAGCAAAGTTAAATAGCACCTTTTGGCTGAGTCGGTATAAGCACGTCGGATCTGACAACAGTTTCCTCTGCCAATATATACAAACAAATGTTAATAAATTCCACAGACAATATCTGTTTATTCAACTTTTTATTATACCCTTCCAGTTTTCGAATGGATTATTGCACATCGGGATTGACGTTATGAATACATTGCCCTAAGTTCATTAAATAAAATATATTTCGTATCTACACAGGAGATAGTAAGGTAAAGTGTGTATAACACACACATACACACACAGACACAGACACACACGCATATATATATATATATATATATATATATATATATATATTCGATATATGTTTTTCCATTTAATCATGATATTTGACGGCACTTTGAACTTGTTCCGATTCCAATTTCAGCAATCTAAAAATGTCAGAATTTAATCAAAAATGTTTGCTTACCATAATAATAACACGCTGTTCTTGACAATATATATATATATATATATATATATATAAGACGACCCAACATGGAATCACGGCCACCTTTTAAATTTGTTTTTTATTTTCTCTCTCTCTCTCTCTCTCTCTCTCTCTCTCTATATATATATATATATATATATATATATATATATATAAGTGGATACTGATTTTATGATTAATTGGCGACAGTCTGTTTCATGCTTCAATGCAATCTTCAAACCTGAAGATTATGTTCAAACATGAAAGTCTATATATATATATATATATATATATATATATATACTTTACACGCAACTACACACACAAGTGGCATGCCACTAGCATTTACCGCTGGTGACCTGCTGTCACACTGCTGGTGTGTTCGTCTGGGCAACGTTACCACTGGCGGACCGCTAGAGGCCCACCGGTGGCTGACAGAAGAGAACTGCTGGTGTTGCCATCGGAGGCCCACGTGTAGGGAATTTATATACACACATATATATATATATATATATATATATATATATATATGTGTGTGTGTGTGAGTGTGTGTGCGCGCGCATGCGTGCGTGCATTTCATTGAATACGACGGACAAGTTTTTTTATATAATTAATCCTGTGATCTTATAATTTTTTCTTTTTGGATGTTATATTATATAAAAACTGTCCATTTTGGCTATACATTGAGCCATTTTCAAGGTTGAAATATATTAAATGTTAACAAGAAATAGTTTGTTGTATGTATGTATTTATATAATGTTTTCTTTTTCAAAACACGGTCAAGATATTGTGTCCATGTTCTTAGTTGATATTATTGAGTGTTGTTTTTTGTTTTTTATTAAAAAGGCTTCCATTATTTTTAGCCTTTTTTGCGTTAGATTGGCACAATATCTTGACCGTGTTTTTGGCAATAGAAATGTAATTCTACAGAAGGATGCTGAGAATGCTGTTATATTAAGACCGAGTAATGGATAACGGTTCGGAGTGAGGAATTCGAATTCCAATCGAATCCACTGCATTCACTTATGTGCTAATACCCTTGGGAAAGGTACGAATCCTCTTCTTCTCCCCCCAGCTATGGGTAAATAGAAGGACAGACTGGGTTCTATAGCCTTGGATGGCAACTGGTCTACCGCAGAAAGAAATGACAACCTACTGCGGGAAGAAAAAATCTGCCTCGTCAGTTATGTATCGAAAGATACATGATCGCCTAAGCAGGTATCACGCATGGCACATAATTGACTGACTGTTACTATCTAGTGTTTACTTTATATTTTCGCTATTATCAAATCAGGAAAATATTAAAGATAAAAAGAAAATTCAAAGGCCTGGAATTAATTTATTTAGTCTAGTTGTACAAAGGCATGGTGGAGTAATTGATAGTGGCACGAAGCCGAGTTCGAATTCCAGTCGAATCCATTGCATTCATTTACGTGCTAATATCCTTGGGAAAGGTATAAATCCTCTTCTTCTTTCCCCAACTATGGACAGACCGGGTTTTATAGCCTTGGATGGCATCTGGTCTACCACAGAAAGAAATGACAACCTACTGCGGGTATAAAAACTGCCTCGTATCGAAAGATACATGATCGCGTAAGCGTGTATCTCGCATGGCACATAACTGACTGATAGTAACAAGGAAAAGGACGAACACTAGATAAAGGTTGAATATATATTCTGGGAAAATAAAACAAGGAAGATATATACAGAAGGAGTCAATAGAAAATAGGAGTACGCTCGTTAAGAGCTCTGTGGTTTGTGGTTGAAGTTCGTTCGGGCGAAAGTCGGAGTGGGAGAATGGTAACTGGTGCTCAAGTCCGGCTTCGTGTGAACAGGAAGTCTGGGAGTAGGCATGAATGTGTTCTTGCAGGACGAGGCAAGCGAAGAAGCCGCTGACTGTTCAAAGTCAAGAATGCCGCTCGTTTGTGACCTGCCGGGATGTATTTTATATTATTTCGGTGGATTGAGAAGGAATCCGCGTCCTTGATTTGCGGTGACTTCCGATTGGCTGAAAAAGCTTAATTTTTTTGTCACGTGACTGCTTGACACTACGTCCGACAGCCAGTAACCTCGAGATGACCTGTAGGTCGTTCTAGATTTTTTTAGAACGCAAAGAACGGTTTATGAATAGCAGTGTGATTTGGCTTGAAATATAACAATACTATGGATAGAATATATGAGCAATGCGGACGTTTTAAGTAAAATAAGAATGAAAAGGGCATTTTTCGAATACGTTGTCCGTAGGATACCTGAAAAAGAGCAGACGACACAACGGTCGAAGCGTCGTGATAATAGTAACAAAATAACAAAAATGAGTCCACTAGTTGACTCTAAATAATAATGTAAATAATATTAACTCCTCAACCCAGAAAGTTTAAGTAGAAATATAACAATTACCTCTTTCTATTTATTACTATACTTTTTGTTATTCGTCTCCTTTTCAGTATCTGTCTATATTTCTGAGATAAGGCATTATGTACACTATTTATATTATTCGGACTATTGTCCTCATCAATGTCGCCATATTTATTCCAACGTTTCGGCCTTTCAGTATCTTCCTATATTTCTGAGATGAGGTATTATGTACACTATTTATATTATTCGGACTATTGTCCTCATCAATGTCGCCATATTTATTCCAACGTTTCGGCCTTTCAGTATCTTCCTATATTTCTGAGATGAGGTATTATGTACACTATTTATATTATTCGGACTATTGTCCTCATCAATGTCGCCATATTTATTCCAACGTTTCGGCCTTTCAGTATCTTCCTATATTTCTGAGATGAGGTGTTATGTACACTATTTATATTATTCGGACTATTGTCCTCATCAATTTCGCCATATTTATTCCAACGTTTCGGCCTTTCAGTATCTGCCTATATTTCTGAGATGAGGTGTTATGTACACTATTTATATTATTCGGACTATTGTCCTCATCAATTTCGCCATATTTATTACAACGTTTCGGCCTTTCAGTATCTTCCTATATTTCTGAGATGAGGTATTATGTACACTATTTACATTATTCAGACTATTGTCCTCATCTTTGTCGCCATATTTATTACAACGTTTCGGTCTTTTAGTATCTGTTTATATTTCTGAGATGAGGTATTATGTACACTATTTACATTATCGGACTATTGTCCTCATCTTTGTCGCCATATTTATTACAACGTTGTACGCTCCGGCCTTCTTCAGGTGGTTGGAATGTCGAACTGAACCCTTTATTTCGCTCACTGGTGTAGACTGTTCTAGTTCTATGTGCCATGTTTTAATGGATGTCAGTTGTCAGTTATCTCCTGTTAATTCATCTCTCCAAGTTCTCCACTGCCTTAACCTTCTGACTATTCATCTTTGCTATTTATTTTTCCTTTCCCAGTTTTCTCTAGCTCTTGTTTACTTTCTTTAAAGGAAACAAAAAAAAAGACCTGTCAATACCTCATGAATAATGGACTATTTCGTTTTAATAACGAGGAAAGTTGAAAAAGACCTATCAGTGACGCCATTTGTTTAAGAAAGAAAGAATGAAAAAAAAGAAAGAAAGAAAGATTGAAAGAAAGAAAAGACCTGTCAATACCTCATGAATAATGGACTATTTCGTTTTAATACCGAGAAAAGGCGAAAAAGACCTGTCAGAGACGCCATTTGTTTAAGAAAGAAAGAAAGAAAAAAAAAGACAAAAAGAAAAGACCTGTCAATACCTCATGAATAATGGACTATTTCGTTTTAATAGCGAGAAAAGTCGAAAAGGACCTCTCAGAGACGCCGTTCTGTTTGAGAAAGAAAGAAAGAAAGAAAGAAAGAAAGAAAGAAAGAAGGAAGGAAGGAAGGAAGGAAGAGAGGCCCTGTAAATAATGGACGATTTCGTTTTGATCGCGAGTAGTGTCAGTAAAGAGACGATGTTTGTTCTCAGTGAGAAAGAAAGAAAAATGCTCTCAAGTGTTTGCTTTATTTAAATGGAAAACCCATCAATTTGTAATATTTCATTTGTACCCTCTTACTTCTTTATTTGGTTAAAACTTTTAAGCACAAATATTTAAGGATTCATATATGGAATTTCCACGGGTATTTTATAGTCGTAGAATTGTCAAAGATCTAATTCCATCATTAAGAAGTATGATGCATCAGTACAATGCATATTATTTAAATGGGAAGACTGAAATTTTTGGGGGTTGTGCTCGTTCTTATGATATCCGCACCCGGCTGAATAGAAGTGGTAAGAGGTAACATCACAATTGTAGTACGACTAATATTCATTCAACCAATAGCTATATCATAAACGGACACACCCACAAGTCATTTTGAATATTCAGTCTTCTAAAGTAACATTTACTAACTCTCGATACATCTTGGATTTTTTTCTTTCTCTCTTTGTGTGTGTTAAACGATTCGATAAATTTATTCATTTTTATTCTTTGATATTTATATAATAAATTATTCGCCAACCAGTCAAACATAAAATATAAACAAAAAGGATGTATTATTTATTAAAACTCTCCCGATGCTTGTTCTTTTGGTTCATTTACCTTTGGCATCAAGAGCGACGAAGCAAGATTTTAGCCTCATTGCCTGTATGTAAATAGAGGACAAAATGGCGCCTTGTCCCTTTCTTGTCTGTTTGTCCAATTTTTTTTCCCTACCAACTTGATTAGGAGGTGGTCAAAGGGATTTACAATAGTGGCCGGTTGAAGCAGAAAGAATTTGGAGATCGGGTACAAATGTATTGCCTCCCCGCGAAAAAAAAAATTGACAAAAATTAGAAAGGAAAGTTTAGCGAAGAGCCAAGTGAAAATGAAAAAAAAAATGGCGGCAAAAATCAAGAGATAAGTAAAACCATTTAGAGAATTTACACTTCAAGCCCAATTAGCGTCCATTCAAATCGCTGTCATTCATAAATTGTCTGGTTTACGGTGAAGGGAAGAAAGTTGCTTATCTTTCATTTGGGAAACACCTTTTTGTAATATTCAAAAAGTGGGTCAAAGTCTGAATGTTTAAATGATATATCCATACCTGTGTATTTATAACATTCAACATTTAAGGGGATAGAGGGGGGAGTTGAAAATTATCGGTCCGACCAACATGCCAAAACCAGTTTTTTTTTTGTTTCGTCATTGAAATACAGATTATTGAAAAGCGAGGTTTCATCACCGACATCTGTTTGAAAATCTAATCTGTTAAAACTATGTATCGCTCTATCTACCTATCTCTTTAAATCTATCTATATCTGAGATTGTTCATTTTTTTCTATCTTTCTATCTCATTCTGTTCAATATCTATCTATCTATCTATCTATCTATCTATCTATCTATCTATCTATCTATCTATCTATGTCTATCTAGCTAGCTATGTTCATCTATCTATCTATCTATCTATCTATCTATCTATCTATCTATCTATCTATCTCAGTCTGTTTTTTCTATCTATCTATCTATCTATCTATCTATCTATCTATCGATCTAGCTAGCTAGCTATGTTCATCTATCTATCTATCTATCTATCTATCTATCTATCTATCTATCTATCTATCTATCTATCTGAGCCTGTTTTTTCTTTTTATCTTTCTATCTAATTCTGTTCAATATCTATCTATCTATCTAGCTAGCTAGCTAGCTATGTTCATCTATCTATCTATCTATTTATCTAGCTAGCTATGTTCATCTATCTATCTATTTATCTATCTATCTATCTATCTATCTATCTAGCTAGCTAGCTATGTTCATCTATCTATCTGTTTATCTATCTATCTAGCTAGCTATGTTCATCTATCTATCTATTTATCTATCTATCTAGCTAGCTAGCTAGCTATGTTCATCTATCTATCTAGCTAGCTAGCTAAGTTTATCTATCTATCTATCTATCTATCTATCTATCTATCTATCTATCTATCTATCTATTATTATTATTATTCCTACCCACCACAAAAATATTGTACCTATGGGAATAGTTAGGACTACATAGAAACTTTAATACATTTTGGTGGCTTTAGTAAGAATGGTAAGTAAAAATGTGAATGGTAAGTAAAAAGGAATATTGTGGTATATTTAGGTCAGTAACTGTGACTAGCCAACTTTAAGATAAGACAGACCCCCACCATTTGACCTTGTGCCACATTTTTGTATCTTTAAAATAAATCTTATTTTTCTCTATTGAGCCTAGACTTTGTGAATTTAAGCACCGTACTAGATTGGCAACAAGGTCTCATCATTTTATAGTTGAAATGGTTGGATGTAAACGTAAGTTTTTTGCTAACAGTTCCTTTTCTCGCACTTCTCGCCTGTAGAACTCTCTTCCGGATTCTTACTTTCATTTGATCTTAAAAAATTTAAAACAGTGACAATCGTTATCACCTGTCTTTTTATACTTCTTTTATTGTTATCGCTCACTAGCAGTAGAGCCCGGCGTTGCCCGGGGATGTAACAGTAAGAGATAGATCAAGTATAGACCATCATAAAGATTGAAAAATAAAATTGACAAAGATTATTATTTAAGGTTGACGGACACGCATGTCTTAATTAGTTGTTTGTTTTTTGTTTTTTTTATGAATTGGTCAAACCCAAACTCAAACAAAAACATTGTTTTCAATCGTTATGAGTCTACCGATTGAATAGAATTTTATTATAAACAATTGTCTTGTAAATGGAATTTTTAAAGCATTCTGAATGTAAAAATAAAAAAAAAGTGTGGAAGACAATAAGAAACACTACCTGCCAAAAACAAAAAGTGAAGTTTTGTTGAAATTGATTGAAAAATGTAGGAAATCCGATCCCATATATAAATGAACACACACACACACACACACACACACACACACACACAAACACACACACACACATACACACACACATACAAACAACCTGGGTTTTAAAATAAGTATAATTCGATATGAGTTGTCCCCCTTCTCGCGATGTCTCTTAATCATGTTTTCAAATTGATTTCGTGCAAAAACAATTGCGTTTTTCCGATTTTGGGCTCTGTCAGAACCACCGCAACGTAATTTTACGTAGTCCTGTGAAGTTTTGTTGAAATCGGTTGAAAAATGCAGGAAATCCGATCCAATATATAAACGTACAGACACACACACACAACCTGGGTTTTATAATAAGTATGATTAATAATTTTCTTATTAATATTCCTTCACAGTCAGTAATCCATTGTGTTTTAATAGCTTTATTGCCTTGCTTGAGGTGAAATGACTTAAACAAATTAAACTAGAATTTTAAAACCACAAAATAGTAAGTGTGATGTTTGCAATAATCTCACAGAAAAATATATTTGCGAAAATATTATCAGAGCGCAAGATGACAGAACCGAAATCAAGGAATTAAAAGTTGATGAAAGAAGAATACAATTGGAATTAAGATGATATGAAAAGAATGGAAAGAATTAAGAATAAAAAATATCGTCTGCGAAAGAAGGGGACAATAAGAGGTTTTTATTTTGCAAAGAAAGAGGAACGAAAAAAATGAAAAAAGTATTACTGAAACTCAAAAGAAGGGAACAAAGAAAAATGACAATTTTTTTTTCAAATTACGAAAAAAAAAGAAGCTGAAATGAATAAGAAATAAAAAGATAAAGCCAACAGAAAAAAAGGATGATAAATGAAGAGGCCTTTTGTCATGGAACAAAAGCGCGGAAGCATCTGGTTCATATCTAAAAAAAAAAGATTCTAACAACCTTTTTAGTCTGGACTCTCAAAAACAAACCGCCATATTGAAAACGTCACTCAGTCGAATACCAACTGACTTATGTTAGGAATAACAAGAAAAATATGAGTGGGAAATTCATTAACAAAAGATTTACATATGTTTTTAAAACAAAAATATTTCTGGATTACTTTTTAAAAGTTCCTTGCATTTCAGTTCTTCTTAATTTATTTATGTTTAACTACTAAAGGGAGGGTATAGATGTGAAAGTTGTAGAATGAAAAGGCCTTTAATACTGTTGTATGTATGGATGTGAATAGCGATTATCTGCGCACGACCAACCTTAATCCGTCAATCCCCTCGTCGGCCTTCTCGATTCCCGGTTACCTTCCTCTTCTTAGAAAGGACTCTACTATGCATGGCCTGGGAGTTTAGGCATGAGAACATCTCTACTGGCTAGGAAACTTGAATCTTCAGTCCATTCATACATGTCTCCGTCTATCTGTCCTCAAATCTATAAACCATCATTTCTTTCTCTATCGATCTCCATCTTCCGAAGACTGTGATGTACTCGATTACATTTCTGATAATACAGACAAGGCTATCTCTCTACATCCATCTGCAAATATATTTGTGTTCATTGACTTCAATGCCTATCATACCAAATGGCTTAAACACTCTGTAACTGGCATGCAAACAGTTAACTTTTCAAGCACTCAATCTCTCACACAAGTGGTTGACTTTCCTAAGCGTTTACCCAGCAACCATGATGGTAAGGGCTCTCTTCTTGATCTTTGTTTTACCTCCATACCCGAGATTTGTCGCGCCATGCAGCTCTGCCCTCTTGGTAACTCTGATCATGCTGTCATGTCTGTTAACATCTCCTTCTACTCCTCCCCCAGTAAAGAACCTCCTACCAACAGAACATCTTTCTATTATCAACGAGCAGATTTGGGCTTGTTCCGTGATTTCCTTCGTGATGTCCCCTGGAATACTGTTTTTAACCTCCCCGTCCAAAAATGCGCGTCTGAGGCCTTATCCTGGGTAAAAGCTGTAAACGAGGCTTTCATCCCTGCAAGACATTATAAAGTGATCATCCCCTTGGTTCTCAACTGCTTCTTTAGTAGCTGTTGCCCACAGTATTCACTACTTCCGACATGTCTGATTGCAACAGACGTTTCTTTGTCACTGCCCGTAACGAGTGCAAGCATGACCACAAAGAAGCAAAGTTACTCTTTGCCGAAAGAATGAAACAACGTATTGCGTCTTGCAAGTTTGGTTCAAAAGATTATAAAAGCGTAATGAACAACAGCAAACCCACAATTCGCCCTCCATTCAACAAATTTGAAGCCCTGACCTCCTCAGCTGATAAGGCTGAATGCTTTGCTCGTAAATTTTCATCCAATTCAACGCTAGTCTCATCTGGTGTACCTACATCTGATTTCCCCCTATAACTGAGGCTCTACTAAGTGAGATGCACATAACCCAAACAATGGTATTGGACATCATCTCTAAATTAGACTCCCATAAGTCCAGTGGTGGGGATGGGATATCAGCCATTGTCCTGGATAAATGTGCTCCTGAATTGGCTCCTGTCCTCTCTAAACTTTACAACTACTCTCTCACCGACCCTATCGTTCCTGAGCTTGTTCACCGTCCTTCTCTGTATCCTTTCCTCAAACATGCGTCTTTACTCTTGTTCTCAATCCTTTGTAACCTCTTGCGTGCTAGTGACACTCCCACCTTGTTTGCGGTGAACTGCTTAAAAAAAAAATGAACTCAGCAAGCCGAGTTCAAATTTCGGCCCAGTCCTGCGCGTTCACTTCTCCACAATTTGGAAAGGCATGGATTCATCTCGTCTCTCCCCAGATATAGGTAAAATAGTAGACTAAGTTCTGCAGACTTCAGTGGTGGCCAGTACAGGAGAAGTACTATTCTGAAATCCAAACGTACTGGAGACCTCACCACTATCTTTCCCAAGACTCCATGGCAGTTCACAGATAATAAAGAAAAGCTGTGGAGAGTCATGATTTTACACACACACACACACACACACACACACACAGATATATATATATATATATATAATTACCTAAAATTGAAAAAAATAACGTCTATGTCTGAGGATGGTAAATGTTTTTACCGAAAATACTTGCAAACAACAGGACGTCTAATCCATTGTACAGTTAATAAAAAAAAAACAAGGATCGTGCCCTTTTAACGAGTGTTCAGTGAGTTAATGCCTTCCTAATCTGTTGACGAAGTGAGTTCGCCATTAATTATTAACTTTATATATATATATATATATATATATATATATATATATATATATATATATATATATATACCACAGCTCTAAGAGTAGAAGTCATAATGTAATTTATTATTAGAATACAAACTATGCCAGTACCAATATGGGGGAAAATCTGAATGGCTCTTTCACTACAGAATTAATAATTATCGGAATCGGATTAAGTCGGATTCAGATTCGGTTCAAAATTCACTATTATCGAAAGAATAGAAATAGACTCAAAAGATAAACTTAGGAAAATATTAGAACATGAAGAAAATGGATTTTGCTCTTCAAAACACTTTGTCCGGATGGACTTAACAACAAACTAAACAACAAGGATAGAATTAATATATAATCCCATAGATCAATCTCCCACCCATATTTATCAACCACACTAGAGAGACATGTTTGCAGAAGTGTTGAGGTATCCCACATACGCAACTCACACAAATATATACACATACACACATCACCTCCCCCGCCAAAAAAAAAAACTAAAAGATAACATACACATAACGCACATAGTCTCTTTCCAGCAACTAATAAAGCTGTCAGAATGACTAAAGAGGTACATCCGAGACTCATGAATCTCTTCTTAAAAGAACTTCAAAGAGGCCTTTTGACCAATACAAAGACTGACCGATAATTAACGATAAAAAAAAAAAAACAAAACAAATGAAAACTACAGGCAAAGTTCACTTTCTTCAGAGACATTCATTTACCACTGTAGTTCACTGCCACTACCAAGCAGGAATTTTTTTCTCCTGCTGGCCGAAACTCGTGGGAGGAACTTAATTTAAATGATAAAACAAAAATATTAATATACAACCCAGTGCGCCGGAAATTTTAATTTTTAATATTTTTTTATTGTTCAAGATATATATATATATATATATATATATATATATATATATATATATATATATATATATAAAATTCGGTATGTTCACCTACCTCTAACAGCTCAGTGGGGAAAACTGGCTGGTTACAAT